GGCACTGCTAAAACAAGGCCGGGCTCTAAAAATGTTATCTGAATGGTAAGGCCATCCCTAGAGGCAGCATCTGGAGGTTGTTGTTGTTTTTTCCCCCTTTAGCAAAGGCTTTTCTTGCTCTTCTGCCTTTGCAGTCCTGGGACCAGGATTGCTGCTGGTCTTTTGTCCTTCCGGGGAAACCCGTTTGGTAAACAAGAGGCTAAAAAGAGCCATCCTCCCGACTGAATAGAAATGGGAACTTGGATTGATTATCTTTTGTCCTTCCGGGGAAACCCGTTCGGTAAACAAGAGGCTAAAAAGAGCCATCCTCCCGACTGAATAGAAATGGGAACTTGGATTGATTCATACTCATGCTGGAGAAATAATTCAGAGCCTTCCCCCTCTGCTCCCCCCCAAAAAAGCTGACAGAAATTAGGAGTAGCTGAAATGGTGAACATTTTTCAGTTTGTTTTGCATGTACCAATTTGCATGGAGACAACATTCGGGGTTTGTACGGTCAATTCCCAGAGACACTTTCCAAAAAGTTTAGGGGCTCTCCAGAACTCTTGAACATGCCAGGTGGAACAAGATGTAGAGGCTTGAGGAAGAAATGGTCACAAAAATCCCAACCTCTGGCCAGATGTGGTGCTCTCTGTACACGGAGTAAATTGCACCATGGAGCTGCTGCTTCAGCGCAGAAGTGTCGAGTTGTTGTTGTTTTTTTTCACTTTACAGCCTACTGGCCAATGATCCTCTGTTCAGTTCAGCTTTTCTTTTTGATCCCAGAGTGTGTTCCTCCTTATTGGTTTGATTCAAGGTTTCTTCCCCCCCCTCCTAGATTTGAGCTGTAGCTTTAAGGCTTAACGTTCATACCGGGAAGCCAGAAATAAATGCCCATGGATTCTAAACCAGAGGCAGAAAAACTGATCAATAATGAACTCCGCTTTCATCATCATAGAAGAACTGCAGAGCTGAAAAGGATGGATCATCTCGAATCCAGTCCCCATCAAGGAGGCCCATGGGGGGGGGAATTGAACTCCCAACCTGTGGGTTTGTAACCAGAGATCTAAGCCACTGTGCTTTCCTGTTAGTTCTTCCACACGCCCTAGCCAAAAATAGCCAAAGGTTGATGACAATTTGTTCACTGAGTAAAATTTTCAATTTCCCACACCAACAACAAAAGTTCTCTGGGTGCATACCAAGCATTTTAAAATAGACAAACCACGACCCTACTGAACAGAGAGCGCACGTTAAGAAAGTTGAAGGCCAAAAATGTCTCCCTGATTCAGCCTTTGCCCTACCGAGTGAATTTCCCAAAGTTGGGAGAGTGGCCGATAACAGCCTTGCTCGGAGACTCTTCTGATGGAAGCGCCAGGTGGCTCCTCGCAAGAAAGAAGCGTCCGTGCTGGGTGATAAGCATCCAAACTCCGGGGAGGTCCCTACGCGAGCGCTTCCCTTGGCAGAGAAACCGCCTCCCACAGAGCCAGGGAGAGCACCTCTGATTTCTCTCGTGGTCCCCAACTTTGGCCTCTCAAAGGTTCTTGGACTACAACTCCCAGAAGCCTTCACCACAAGTCCAAGAACATCTGGGGACTGAAATCTCTCTTCCTGTCTCAGCCTCTTCTCCTTTCACTCTCTCTCTCTCTCTCTGGGACATTCACCCACTCCCCCTCCATATACATGGCCAAGAAGCTGAACTCTGCATTATGATGGTGACGTTCTACAGGCTTGCTTTTATTTTCCCACACCGTTTTCTGTTTTGTTTTTTAATTGTGTGGTGCAAAATAGGGCTGGGATTATAGAGGATTATTTTCGAGATGCAATATCAGAACTGATCACTAGAGGGATCTAGAGAGGATTTCCCTTTGTTTTCCTTCCGCAGTTGTAGTGACTGTCATGATATAGGTTATTGAAGCCAGAATGTAATTTCTAAATGGGATTTGTAGTTATGGAATTAGCCAGAAGGAATCCATCTTAAGTCTGTGTCATTTTTTACTGGAAGCCTCTAGATGCTGTTTTTTTCATAGCAGATAGCAATGTTATCTCGTAAATAAGAGACTACGGCAGAAGACCTACTGGAGTGAAAACATTCCAGGAGAGAAATGTAAATAACACCTGCATTTCCATGGGAAAGAAAGGCGGAGAGAGAGAGAGAGAGAGACAACTTTTCCTTCGTCCTGATTGGTGATCAGTGGTGAAGAGGAAGGAGGGGGGTTTCCAGCACAAGAAGAGAAAATGGAGGATTGCTGAGACAGAAGAGGGACTTTTTGCCTGATGGATTTTTAGAGGGACTTTGTGACTTTTTTGGACATTGCCTTAGATCAGGCTTGTCCAACCTTGGCTCTCCAGATGTTTTTAGACTACAGCTCCCAGAGGCCTTTACCACCACCTCTGCTGGCCAGGATTTCTGGGAGATGAAGTCCAAGAACATCTGGAAGGCCAAGGATGGACACCACTGCCTTAGATTATGGATTCTTGAATGGATTTTGGAGTTCCAGAAATCAGTTAGGATGTAGTTCTTAGTAAGAGAATAGAAGGAGGGCTTTAGCCTTACCTGTTTTACTTATTTTTCTTAGATAGCAATTTTCTTATTTTATTTTTGTAGCTGGAGTTTGTTAAGTTTCTAACTACTTAGAAATGGAAATGATTTTGATTGCTATGCTTTTGCAATAAACTGAATTCTTTTAAATCTTTATTTTTCTAATAAAAACAATTATACTTAAGAACTTATGTTTGATCTCTTGAACAACTTGCTACCATACTTAATCGGATTTCTTTAGGCCACGAACTAAGCTACCTTGAGTCCAATATTTTACTGAGTTCTGGGGGTTCTAAATGACTCTAAGACTTGGGATTATATTTCGGTTTCTCAATGGTTTTCAATAGGGAATAGACTTGGGAAAAGGGTGCCAGTGGGACAGCCTGGTGAGACAAGGACTCATCTCATCCCAAATAGGGGTACACTGGACTCTGGAACCTCTCTATTCCAGCTGTCTGATTCTCTTAGGAGAACGGGCAAGCTTACAGTGACAACTGTAAACCAACAGGGGGCAATGTAATAAGAACAATAAAGAACAACCCTCCCACCTTTGGTCTGTCTGGGTTAGGGGCTAGGATAAAAACTGACCTTATACAAAGGGTACTGCAATGGGGGAGAAGATGACACGTCTGGACTGAAGAGACCAAACAAAAAGAGAAATGTTTTTAAAGCACTTTTTATTGATCTCATTGAAAACAGAACAAGGAAATGACAGGCAGCAATAGATGGCGCCTTTAAAACGGTCAAAAAATATTTAACAGAAAAACAAACAAATGAAACAAAATGGAAAAACACCCGGCAATATGAACGGTTTAGAAGAGATGCACCCAAAAGGAAGGAAGGAAGGATTGGGGTAGGAGGGGATTTGAGGAAGCACGAGGGGAAAAAAAAAAGGAAAATGACTCCAAACCTGGTAATGCACTAATTTACAGTATTTAAAGATATATGAAAAGGAAAAAAAAAAGGGGGGGGGATCAAAATGACCTCCTTTGCCATCACACAAAAGATGATGGCAGATTTATTTTCACTACAATTCTAACAATATTTAAAAAAGTTTTGTGGGTTTTCGTCCCTGCGTTTTATACTAAAATCATTTTGTTCTTTTTTCCCCCTCCTTTTTTTATTATACAACTGAAATTTATATTCACGCAGTGAAGTAAAAATCACACTAGAATCAGCACCGTTTAGTTGCTTGGATTGTGGAGGTGTGTGTTTGTGGGAGGGGGGAGGCCAGGGGGTTCCTCCTCAGGGCCCTCTGACCTTCAAGCCCCTCCCAAAGGTAAAAAAAAAAACCCAAGATCAGTTCAATTCAACATCAACCTCATCATATGTTGTTCAGGGATAAAAAAAGAGGTGGGGGGAGGCGGGAGAGGAACTGCCTGGAAATGTCGGGGTGGGAAAGAAACCACGTCCTCGTTTCATCCTTGTTTAAGAAATGCCCAGAAAAGGGTCTCCATAAACACCAGTTTTCTGAATATTCACAATAATAACAACAAATCTACTCAAAGATTCCTTTCCTTTTTTTTTGTCTTTTTAGGCGTTAGTGTCATGTCAGATGTGTTCCTATCCGCTTCCTTGCATGAAGGAAGAGTGGATCATACCTCCACGGGTGAAGGGAAAGGAAAGATGGAGGAGGCCAGGGGAGGAGATCTTTGTCCAAGACCCAGCCTGTAACGGAGAAAAGCCCTAGTAAGACTTGGGAAAACTTCTGCTAGGCTTAGACAATATTTCTTTTTAAAGCTCAGAGGAAGCAGGGCATGGGACGAAAGGACCTTGAATTCACAGCCCACTGGATGAAGTCCATGCCAGGCACCAGTTCGAAAGAAGGTCCTCGGACGGTGGGCAGAAAAGGGAGAACGGGACGTCCAGCCGAAGGCCAAGCCTGCTCCCAACCCGCACCCGAGGAGGGGGGTTGGGGGGGCCTGCTTGGAGAAAAGATGCTTCGCCGTCAAGTATTCAGAATTTTCTCAGACGTGAATCGGGGAGATGCGGCGTACAAACCGTCCGTGCGATTCTCAAAACCTTCCGAGGGGGAGACGGATGCAGGGCGGAGAGGGAAGCGCCCCCTCTCCCTTCCGTTGGAGAACACCTTCTGTCACATTATGAGAGGCCAGGGAGGGTCCTTCAGCGTGAAGCTGACCGCGGGCGGGGTCAACCGCACAGACGCGTCCCGCCCCCCCCTCCAAATTCAGGGCGGCCGAGCAGGCAGTTCCTCGGCACAGGCATGCAAGAGCCTTCCTCCGCAGCGCCGTGGCAGCAGAGCGCCCCCAGAAGGCCGGGGCTCTTCTCGGAGAAAGATCTGTACGTTGGTGG